CCGTTTTGGTCCACAAAACACTTGAATTCCCTCCTCGAGAATTGGCGATCAAGTTTGGGGAGTTTGGCAGGTAGCCTAGTATCATAGCTTGCATATGGCAGGGTGAAGTTGAAATAAGTCAGGTGAAGCGGGCTGAGGCTCAAATTCAAGCATCCTGAAACCGACCAAGTGTGGGGCTGGGTTAGGATGCAACGTTCTATTGAGGTCATGAGCGCCAGGAACCTACCAATCCGACCAAAGCTAAACGACCACCCCCAAACCCGAAGTCATTTCACTTCACCAGGAAGGACAAATTTCCCACGGCATTCAAGGCAGGGAAGGGGGTATGAATTATTAGGTCGGGTGATAAGATGAGGGTTATTCATCTCAATATCTCGTTCTCCAATGTGAATGGATTGGACCGACTCCTGTAAACTCTAAAGCATGATGCCTATCATCAACTGGCGCCGCTATTGAGGATAGGTCGCCGTGTATACGTCTATTGATACCGGGATCTCGAGCTTGAATGAGTCAACTACTGTACGATGCCTTTATAGCCGTTTCGGCATGCAGACATAGCGAGAGAAACAGAATAGACAAGCTCGATTAGATATGTTGAGAGATTGGGGCAGCTTTTATTAAAGTAGGGTTATTTGGCCTTGGTGATGAGCCACGGACATAATAGACTGCTGGAGAATATATTGATCCACTGAGGGAGCACTCAAGTCCTCTGCTCGCCCGTCACTCCTCGTCACTCGGTGAGTTATTACTTAACAGTGTCCTCGCTTCCGTGCGAGTATTTTCCCTCGGGTAGTCGCACCCTGGGGCATCTGTAACACCAACGCGCGGGGCTTGGTAGCTTCGCTATTGGCATCACTCGGGAACCCCCATCTTTAGGGCTTGGGAGAATATATAGTACTTGTGTGTGCAAACTCGGCAACCGGTAACTTATCCGGCAAGCGAAATGGCGATATTTCCGTGGATTTCTGTTTTAGGGATCGAGTAGACAGCGGCTGCGCACCCAGTGCTGCGGTGCGAGAGCATGTTGGGATGGTGGTGAGAGTGAGGCTGATGTCGAGGGGGCATGGGGGCATGGCAAAGGCGCGCTTACTCCTCCCGGTTGGAACAACCCGGATACTGTACTCCAAAAAACATTGGTAAGCCTGAGATATCAGAACAAGAGAATTTATCAAAGCTCTGGGCCTATAGATTGGCTCCCAGTGCCGTAGCTTCTTAAATTTCTAAGGCTCTTTGAGAGGTGATGGATTTCGTTGTCGGAGTATTTTGGTATTTTTGGTCGCATCGTCCTCCCATGTCCAGGTTTTTAATCTCACCGGGAATACAGTACATCTATCTAGAGATGTAATCTGGTACGGCGCTCACTAGCCCCCGTGTGTAAGATGCTCACCAGGAGTTGTCAGCCAGTCCACCCCTTGGGTATTGGTCAGATTTGTGCTAGGGCGCAAGGATATGTGTTATGTATGGCACGGTAGTGCCACCGGTCACCTAAGAGGGTGGAGGAAGCGGCTCCAAAGAGGTTCCAAGGTACGGGAATACATTGCGCCTTTCTAACTTTCCGAGATATAGTACCCTGCCGTGTAGGTAGAAAGGTTCTATGGGAAAACTAGATTGAATTGCTCCTGTGGATAGTAGGTGAGTACAATAAATGTGAGGAGTGGTTGGTAGCTTCGATCCAACCTAATTGACTTGGAGCTCTAAAGTTTAGGATCAGTTACAATACAGTACCAGAGAGAGCCTGAAAAATTCCAGCTTTCCCCCCAATCTTCGATATAGCTACCCGTAATCAATACTAAACTACAACATATTTTTTCCTTTTTATCCAACCTCGATGATGTTGGCTTCTAAGTTAGTCGTTAAAAATTACCCTACCAGGGTGGCTCCATTCGGCTAAGATTATGGGCATCTCCAAACCTACAATCAAGTCATCATTCTCCACCGCTGAATAAATCGCCGCTACTATATTACCAAAAACTTGAGGGGGTTAATTTAATGTTGTACATTCGATTTTGAGGCGAAGCCGCAGTAGAATGGAGGATTACTGCTGAGCCTCACAGACTATTCAAGTCATTTAGATTAGCGGTGACTTTGCTTGTAGTTCCGGTGGGTGGAGAATTGACCTCCAAGCACTTGATTCAAGCGTTCTTTTGCAACTCAAACCTCACTCCAAAATCCACAATATTGGTATAATATCTTCTTTCGGTAGAAGTAAAAAATAAGAAGGATGCTACCCCCTGCGCTGATAGTGCGCATTAAGGTTACCCAAGTAATCCCGAATGTCGTTCGGAGGAGTGACCAAACCTCGGGCTGGAGAGTCTGAATAGTTGCAATAATTAAGGGCGAAGATTGGGACAGAGAGCTTCTGCTAGAAGCCATGAACGTGGACTTGAACTCGTTACCACAGCAGCGGTCTTCCACTTTCCTAATGCCGTTAGTTAGACAAGCTAACTCAAATGCAGACCGGATCTCCGTCTGAGCTGGGAACTTGTGCTCGTATAGTTTATGAATTAGTGTGGACATGAGAATGTGCTCGCGCGGCCGAGTGAAGCCGGACACCTTGTATGGGAATTGTCACTAAGGTGTCCAGCTTCAACTTGGCCGCGCAAGTAAACAATGTCAACAAAGCGTCTGGTTGGCTCAGGCTGATCTCCCACCAGCTAGCTGTGGGTGACTATTCTGGACGGCGATAAATTTATCACGTGTGCTGGAGTTCGGGAGCTGGAACATTTCTCCTACCCCTCAGAACCTCTTTTTCTCGGTGCACAATCTGGTTCATTTACAGCACAAGGCAGCGTTCGAGTTCAATCTCATCACACACACGGTAGAATCTCCTAGTGGTTAGGCCATGCTCGTACAATCTGCATCACACATTAGCACTATAATTTTCATTTGGAGGTTTCTCTTGTATCGTGACTTTACTAGTAGTATAATTTGTTACATTTAAAGTTCTGGGGGTTGGTCGAAGTGAATTCCGACTCTATTTTTTTTTTTTAGCCCTCATCAAGGGACTCCTTTGTTAGAGGTTAAGACCATCATAGCTTCGGGCTCCGTGGTCAAGTTAAGTCCTCATGAGTGACCTTTCGTAGACCCAGCAATTCAGAGGCACACCACAGGTGCCCATTAGAAATGCCGAAGAGGTGGCGACCACCAACAGTAGAGTACCAGTACCCCAGGGTTTACACTTTCTCTGGCAACTATTTGCCGAGAATTTATCTCCCCAGCCCTCCTTCCGCACGCGGACAAATGAATTCTCGGGTTGATTAATCCACTAGAAGAAGTAGTTTAGGGTTTTTTTATTGTTCTGGGTTTTTAATAGCTCGGTAACTAGCTGGATTTGATACCGGTACTTGCTTCGCGACTCCCTTACCTCACGAGCTACCGTAGTCGGACGGTTTAACTTTTTCAAAGTTTAGCTTCGGTATTTTTTTCATGTGTTTTTTGAGTGATGATACGGCTCTCCATACTGTCCTACCCTGGATTTTCTGGAATCCGAAGACCGATGGAAACGAACGGGTTTGATGGGGCCGGGCCTTAGCTAGATTTAGCATGAATTCCTTTCACTCAAAGCCTGCACTGTAAAACAGATATTATCTTATCAAAAAGAACACTGGTACGGGTTGGCTGTGGGAACATCTTTGAGGCTCAGCCAATCCTTGGCGCTTCTCCAGCAATTTCATCTCACTTGATTCCCGCATCAGATGCGGTACTGATATGTTATAAAACTTCCTTCCTTTCCCTCATTTATTAACAGTCATCCAGCGTTCTGCATCACGGGAGCTTCCTTAGCTTCGATTACTTGCGAACTTTGAGCCTTTCCAAGGGTATTATGTGCCGTTTTTCACACCCAGTTCTTAGAAGGGGATTGCTGTCCGTTCACAAGGCGAAGCCAAAGTGATCATAAAAATTTAGATAGCGGTTAGTTAGAATTGCCGGTTGCTCGTGTAGTTCAAGCGAGATCTGTTGCAAAAGACTCAATAGCTGCAGCGCGCACTAAGTTACTTGAATCCTCATTCATAGCATATGCCCGACAGCTGCAGTGCCGGTGTGGGCTTGTTACAGATGTTGGGTAATGGCATGCTGTGCGCACCGTCGGGATATGTTTTGGAATGTTTGATACTTGTCCGAGATACTCTTGGACGAGGATCCGGTGTGGTCGCTGGGGTGAAAAAGGTTGCACTCGCTGCACGAGAGTTTAGACAGTTGACAGGGGGTTGATATGGTCAGTAGCTCTATTTTGAGGGTTGGTAAAGGTGGTGGTAGAAGTAATAGAGTATTGGCCGTTGCACTGATGCACTGTCGTAGAGATGCAGAGTCCCGCGTGTCCTACTCATCGGTAGGCTCGAGTGGGGAGAAGCTCGTGAGGGGGTTGGTGAGGGTTGGTGAGGCGGTGGCATGGGGAGAAAATGATGGAGGGATGTGAGTGCAGAAAGAAGAGACGGCAGAGTAAGACTGTAACCTACGATAATGCTATAACTTAGTCCTTGAATAGCGGGAGGCATCACGTCACATTTGTCTTTTGTTCCTTCTGGATGTAAGAGCCCTCATTCTCTTGCATTTGAACGCGCTAGACACTATGCGGTGGTGGTTGCGAACTGGAATCCTGCGATATTGGGTGGTGCTGAGCATGAGCTCCATACGACGGATTGGGTAACTTTGTGGTTTCGCAATAAATTTTCTTTTTTCGCCCATCTCTCCATTTGACCCCTAAAGATAAAGTAAAGTAGCAGACAATAATAGAGAATGACTACTTTCCCCCCTTCTATTGGATGGGATAACTTCCCTGAGCGTGCATAATAGGTCTTCTCTAATTCTGAATTTAGAGTGCGGCTCTTGGTTCTACCGTTGGCGCAATCTTTCTTAGCATGCTGAGCTCCCTTAGGTGTGCGCATTTTGCCCACATATAATAATACGTATCTTTTTTTTTGTTAGTCATGCGCCGCCTTGGGCTACAAATACAGCTAATGCCCCACATCTTTGTCTCCATCCATATCACACTTGACTTTCAACTTCATATCCGACCTTCGTAGTATTCCTGAGTCCAAGGTTCCCTCGTTTTAGCCTTGACCAGACAACATTCGCTTTCATCCACACTCGCTCTACTTGCTATATTATATTGCCTACCGCTGGCTTTTGAATAGCTCACCTTCGCTCCGTGTCATTCGTTTTCTGGTTTCTCCGAATTCTCAGTGCAGCACATTTACGACACTCCCACTCTCGACCAAAATTCAGAGCTTCTCACACATACCACTGTATTCTTCTACGAACGCATAACTGTACTGTATCAAGTATGAGTTCGTACGGTTCAGATCACCATGACCAAACCCACAGTGGCACTCAGCGGAAGCGGGTTGGCAAAGCCTGTGACCGCTGCCGCATCAAGAAGAGCAAGGTGTGTACACAGTTTCAATTATACCAGCGGAATCACAAAGAGTCTCGAGGAAATTTCGTCGATTCTGTTCTACACCATGCTTTCCCCAGCCCAAGGCTAATTTTCAATAGTGTAATGGAGACAACCCATGTGACCGCTGCAATACCGATGATCAAGTTTGTACCTATAGTGAGCGCAGAAGGCCGAGAGATAAGAACCCTCCAAGAGGGTGAGTTTCTCAAGATATTCCGTTCATTCTTGCCTCGTAAATTTGGAGCACTAACACTTCCTAGATATATCGAAACTCTTGAGAGCCGCTGCATTATTCTCACTCAGGGCTTGATTGAGATGGACCGCATCCGAAAGGGGCTGCCACCTTCCTCTACTCAGTTCGTAGCTGGCAGGCCCAGCGGAAGGGTAGCAAACTCGATTTTGAAGGAGATTGGAATTGACACCTCGAGGATTGAAACCGATTTTGACGATTATGATGGACTTTGCGGCGGTGGATCTCCTGGAGCAGAGAGTCTCGGAGGTGGATCAAATCATTCTCAATATGACGATTTCTTTACAAGCACGGAACACCTCCCCCACCCCCAGTCCCACCACTCCCCGGCATCTTCTCGTAGTCCGAGCGTAAACGCAGCTTCATCGCGCACGTGGCCTTTGGAAGGTCATCGCCGACAAGCATCCCACGGTTTTCCTGTCGCGAACCCTCAGTTTATTGCAGAGGGAATCACAGCTCAAAACCTCGTGTCGAACGGAGATTACCAGCCCCCGATGCTACTAATGGAGGGGACTCAATACCAACCCTCTTCACCGTCTCCGGGAGTCTTTCACTACAACCAAGACTACAACCTATCTTCTCAGGATCTTCCCAGTGATTTTGGTGAATATTACGAATATAATGACAACCGGTCTCCCACCGGTAACTCTACGAACGTCACGTGTATGGAGCCGAATTATAATTTGTAAGTTTCAGTTGGATTTTTTTCTCTCTCTTCAGGCACAGGCACGGAGTCTATGCGTCATGTACCATCTCTTTCCTCCTTGCATGCATATCTTTCCCCCCCCCTCCCCACCACTGTTTTTAACTTTCTTTGTGAAGGTTGACCAATGAAAGTCATGTCCAGGGTTACGCCTAATTAAGGCTTTTACGAATTTCCTCCCATTCTCTCTTTCTGTCTCTCCTTTCCTCTCTTTTTGTTCCAAATCTAGACATTCATTTACGATATACGCATGCACACGTTGGGGGGGGGGGGGTTCTTCACATTTTTTGCTATCCTTATTGGCTGGTTTTTTGATTTTTTTTTCTCGCTCTCATTTGGTCTTTTTGCGAAAACACACTCATAGCATGTTACGAGCACGGTACGGTCATTCCTTTTTGGTACGGGGTTTTGTTGTTTTTTTCTCTTATTTCAAACTTAGCTGTGGATGTGAGCATGGGTATCGGCGCTTTTCGGATTTGGATTCCATCGCACAGCCCCCGCATGCCCAAAGGGCTGCGTATGGCTTGCTTATTATTATCATTATTATTTTTTCTTTCACATTCATTCCCTGTTATTTTTCTTTTCTTGGTCCCCGAGAGTCCTCTCGGGTTTTTTGCTCCTCTCTTAACTTTAATTTCTAGTTTGTTAATTTTCTTCTTTGTTTTGTTTATCACTCTTGCTATGGTTTCTTATCAGATTTCAATGTTTTGGGCGGTCCGCGATGTTGATGTACAGTACATAACGGTTACCTCACGATACCCTCCTCCCATCCCTCGCTCCCCATCTCGCTCTCTCTCTTATTCCTCCTTTTCTTGCTCTTTAATTTCTAGTTATCTGCAGCCTGGTATCGCAAGATCACGTTTTTGCGGTATTTTACGAGTTATGTATGGGCGATCGATTTGGTTGTTGGGAGGAGTTTCAGGTCCCTTCAATGTAGCTTTTTTAATGTTTCAGTTCCCTATTCTTACGATTTCTGTGCCCTATGTAAATTAAGGCGGAAGAAAGTCCGGAGCGGGTAGATGAAATTTTCATGGTTCAATGTTTACTGGCCATCTGATATTCGGGGACTCTGGACCCTGTGGCAAGGAAACAAACTGGGGGAGAAGAAGAGAGAAGGCGTACAGAAAAAAAAAAAAAAAAAAAGGTCTCGCAGTCAGCTGCAATCGCTGTTCGATGGGGTTGGGGCAAGTCTAGACATTTAGGTGATGCACAGCCATGGCGATGACAATCTTGTGCACAGCAGAGCTACCACAGATACGGGACCTGCACTTGGTCTCGTCAGAAGGAGGCCGTGATCGAAAGAGAGGAGGGGATAACCCGAGTGATGAGTTGTGGTTAGTCGACGAGCAATCAATTATGATCCTTTACTATTATCATACAATACCCGAATAATTATTGGGCTTAGGGCTTTAACCACCAGTCTTACTTTTTTCTTCTTATTCTTTTTTTTTTTTTTTTTATTTCCATTTTTTGTTTTTCCCCCCCGTTTAACTTAAAAGCGGGGACCGGTAGGCGTATATCGCGTCGGCCGGAGTGAACAGGCCCGGTAAACGGTAGATTTTTTGCTACCGTTTGGTGCCCCATCGCGCATCTCAACTCCAGGGAAAACCTTTCGGAGGAAAAATAGCCCTAGCAGCTAGTCTACAGAAGGCCGGGAGAAGGGCAGGCATCAAAAGGGTAAATTCCTCACATCTCCCCGGAGACAAAGACAGAGAGATATGATACGACAAGACACACCCCAGCCCAGGGCAGCTGCCAAAAGAGAAAAAGGTGTCGGGCCACATTTTTTTCAACAGTATCTAAAGATAGACCTTTTTACCATGGTATGGTGCCGTGACATCGTGTTCTTCGATAGGAATCCGACCGTAGTATTGGTGAGGAAGGAAGGAAGGATGTGAGGAATGATTTAGAAGAGCAATGGGGGGGAAGAAGGAAAAAAAGCAAAAAGTGAGGAAAAAGAGATATGATAAAAAAGGTACAGTACAGTACCATGAGGTTCGCTTCGTGATCAACTCACCTAACGACAAATCATCACACCGGCAGGTAAACTACGAGTAGAAGGAGGTGAATTAAGGCTAGGATAGGACGGGGGGGGGGAAGGGACATGCGAAGAGGGACAGAGAAAGATTGAGAGAGAGGTGGGGGGGGGGGTATTTACGGTACTGTAAACGTACTCGTATGGTATGAATACTTTTCAGGAAAGTGGAACGGTAGTACAGATCTAAGCTAGAAATGGAGGTATATATTCTACTGACAAAGAACATCGTATCATAGAAGGGGCATGGTCAGAAGCTACCGGTACCACCTGTATGGGGAAAGGTGTGAACGTTCTTTCCGGTACGTGGGGTTGAACAGCTTGTTGAGATATATATATATATAACTTTTTTTTTTTTTCGCTAGGCAAAAGAAGGTACCATTCTGCATATCTGGAGACCCGTCAGGCAACTGTCACGGGGACGCGGGGATGTAGCAGTTTTCAGCCCTCCGAGGTTAAAAGGAAGGGAAAAAAAAGTTATAATAAGTAATAACGTGCCTTGCTAAGCTATGGGTTTGTCTCTTTTCCCTCTTACTGCCCTTTCCTCCTCTCATTCGCCCCCCCCCCTTCCCTCCCTTTCTGAGCCCCTTGAGCTTAGATTCGAAACTCAGACCACTAAATGTCCCCGCGTACATAAACTGGACTGTTCTACTGCATTTTTGTCTCGCTATAGACCCCCGTTTAGTGCTTCGTTGGTTGAACTCTGCAGTCTTACATTGGGGGTGGGGGGGGGGCTTGGAGTTTTTCCGTAATGGGGATTGAATGTGGGTGGATGGAAAAGAGGGAAGATTTTATACAGCGAAGCTCTCAATTCTGTGGAGGCTGTCCAGCCTGCTGGGCCTTTTTTATTGTCTTGATCGGTTTCTGTTTCCCATAGGAGAATGCCGAGTGACGTTCCCCCCGACAGATCCTAGACAAGATGAAACAACTATCAAGTGTAAGTTGCTCCTGCCTTCCACCTACCGGTATTCCACCATCCTCACAGTTGCATATACAAGTATCCTTGAGGGATGGAGATGGAGAAAGCTGGAGGTGCGCCATCTCTTTCTTCCTGTCCTACGATGGTTCTTTCCTACGGCACCGATGAAATTGCTAGTTTAGCCGAATTTCTTTACCCGTGAAGAAAGTGTCGGGTGTTTCCATGAGCTTAAGAGCAAAGGGGAAAAGGCAAAGATGGGGGAGAGCATCATAGTCCAAACAAGCTTCCATCCTCATGGTAGAAAAGATATAAAAAGAAACAAACAACGTTTTCACTCTGTTTTTTTCTTTTTTCTTTCTTTTTGTCTACGAACTACGGGTCTCGGGGAATCGCGGTAGATCTGGAACGGTGCTTTACACAACGTTTTTTTTCTTTGAAAAACCTCGTGAAGGAGAAAATGAGACCATAAGCTGGTGCACAAAAGTTCGCATAAATTATCTGATCGATTTATGATATAAAAACACCCAATATTTCCAAGTACCGCTCCTCCTTGATACTATTTACAGCTACCGTACCGTAAGTTATGCTCGTCCGAATGCTATCGTGACGTGTTCAAGGATTCATAGACTAAGTTATCACCTATTGCGCAGAAATGGCAGGAATTTTTGCTTTTTGAGCTGTGAAATTTTGCGATCTTGCGCGCTGGGGAAGGGCCGTAAGCGAGTAAGCTGAGCGTGGCTCTCTCTTGGGAGGGGTTGAAAGAGGAATAAAGGATAAAAGGGTTATAGAAGAGAAAGCCTCCTCCCCCCGCCCTTACCATAACTCAGTTATGCGGCTTCGATAGAGCCGAATCTGAGAAAGAATCTCGGCGTGCGGGGTGGTGGGTGGGTGGTTCCAGGGGTTTGTCAAAAAAGACATGGCGGTGAAATGTACTCGAGTATATATTTAGATCTGGGGTGGTCCGTGATGAGCATCGGGTTTTTTCATTGAGCTGTTATAAACGAGGGAACACAAGGCCTGTGTGATGGGAGGGGCGCAACAGCAAAAAACAGCAAAAAACAGCAAAAAAAAAAAAAAAAAGAGTGAGAGTTCCGTCCTGTGGGCAAATGTGCACTAGTTATGTACCGTGCTCTTGTATGCCTGCAGCGCCCATCTTACATACAATTCGGTACATATTCGCTGCGATATGATACACCGCCTGTCAGGACGCTGCTCTTTCCTCACATCAATATACTTCACAGCGCTCGAGTACGTGTCTTGTCTCTGAGCGGAAAGGGGCAAACCAGTACTCGTACCTGCCTCAACCTCCATCGGATAACTATCCTAACAGTACCGGTACCTGTACACCAATCCAGTATCATACCCGTACCTTTCCAGAAGGATCGAGCTTTGGTTCACCCTGCATTGCTCAGCACTAGTCCATGGAACGCTTGAGATCTTGTGTTTGTCGATGATTGACTCAAGTCGGTATTAGTTCCACTACCAGGCACAATAACAGCGAGAACGAGAGCGACAAACTGCTTTTTTTCTCTCCTTCGATTGTTACCCTTCCCTGCGCCTCATTCTAAATAAACTTACAACCCGAATTGGGAGAGGGCAGCCAACGGTGTTTTGAATCCCTATTGGCCCCTCTGTAAAAACTCCATTGGCTCTGTCTCTCTCTCTCTCTCTGCTCGCACGGTGAAAAAGGCTCAACCGACGTCAGTGCTCGTTTAGTTGGTCCCATGAAAGATATGTGATGCGCGACACCATTCAACGTCTTTTGGATCGGGAGTATGCCGACGGCGCGGTAGATTACGTTGTATCATAGTCGCAGTTATGGGCAAGTGTTAGGCGTTCGTGAGTGACACCTTCAGTTCTTCAAATTTTCGCCTGGCCTTGCTACGGTAGCCCTCTCGGCTGGCTGACCTATTGGCAGCGCTGCATTAACTACGTTACGATACCGTATTCTTGGGAAAGGCTAGGATGGAGTGGGGGAGGGGGGTTGATATCTGTAATCATTTTTTTCTTCTGCTCGATACAGAATCCAAACGAGTTATTTACGTTGTCTATCAAACATCTCTAGCATTGCCGCAATGCCACACTATTCTAAGGCTCTATTAATAGCAACTCTCTTGGGCAGGCACAACTCCCACTTCATAGTTACTCACTCGAACGGGGCCTCCTGTCACGACAAGTTATTGGAACGAGCAGTTAAGGAATCCGGGATTTTCACAGAGAATAGCCCCAGAACCATTATGGTGCCTGTAAGGATCGAAGAATACGTCGAGGTGAACGTGGGCCATAACTCCCTGAGACCATAATCTGAAGCTATACATAGGAATATGTACCCGACCACGATGATCCGATGGTCAAAATTGGGGAGAAAGGAGAGAAGGCCGGTGGAAGGTGGAGGGATTTCATTTGTGCGCCAATTGAGGTTATTGTGGAGTCGAGCATCGGGGTCCGAACCCCATCCGCGCATCCTGAGCCCGCATGAATTGACATGATTGGCCTGTCCTCTGGGTCTTCTCCTGGCCCTCGCGCTTTCGATTTCACCCTCCAGATGCACGAAGGCACGACGAAACGCCTTGCCCCTGGCGGTATTAGGAATGCTTACTCCAGAACGCGCTGCGTCTACATCCGGTGGTTCGCCGAGGTCAACTGCTTCCTCGTCGCCGTTGTTGGAATCAACTGCTTCCTCATCGTCGGCTTCCTCGTCGTCGTCGCTGGAATCAACTGGGTCTGTTTCCTCAGGTGCCTCTTCCGCCCCCGAATCCTCGGCGGATACCACCGACTCCCGAGAGCTGTCACCGGTGTCTGATGAGTCTAGTTCCTCAGATTCCTCTTCCATTCTTAGATTCTCGGCGAATACCCTTAGCTCGGGAGCGGGGATTCGTAGGTGCGGGCGTGTCCGCAACAATCTCCTGCAAATATAATCGTTTAGATTTAGGTTATTGCCCGGCCGGCTTCCCCATCCGGTGATGTACAAGGGTAGGCCGACCCAACTCACAGAATCTTCAGCTTCATCTATATCGGTGAGGTAGCCAAATATTAGCCATTCAACTACTTGCCCAATTTCTCCAGTAATATGGTCATTAGGATCGTAGTCAGGGTGCTCTGGATCCTCTGTTTCAACTAATTGAACGAGGTATCGTAGGCCCCGGGGGGTTCGAAAGTGGGTTCGATTGTATGCCCCAACATGCCACTGGATATTTTCTGTTAGGAAGGGACTTCCGAGGAGAACATTAGAGAGAGGCTACTTACACAGGTATTCAAGTAATGACTAAATTCATGAGCTACGGTGACGAATAGGAGGAATAAGATAGCATCGTAATCTTCCCCGTCTCGATGTGCCTGCTCAATGTTGTCGAAAAACAATGCATTAAGACATAATTTATGACTGTGTCGCGTCACTCGAGGGACGTACCCGTAGGAATCGTCTATCGCCTCTCTACCGCCTTGGGTATAGCCATTACAGAGTATCTCTATTACGGGAAAACCGTGCAAAATCCATCTCATCGCACCCTCAACTATTCGAAACGTCAGATAAGATGGAAGGAAGGGAAAGAGAAACCCCCCTCAAAAAAAAAAAAAAGAAAAAAAAAAAGTCAACTTTAGCACATACCTTCGTCAACTGAAGCAGGTGGCTCATTAGCCATATTATCTGTACTCCCTATGCGGTACCTACTTGGGTGGGCTCGATTAACGATCGCATACTTCGCAGCGATAGAGGGCTGGAGTAGCTTGGTGCGGATCCAATCAATCAAATTGTAGATATAATGGTCCTGAGTTAGGGCTCCTCGGCTACTGGGTGCCCCTGCCCTGGTGTCATATATGGTTAGCGGACTTCTTTCAGATGTCTGCAAAGTCGGATCTATTTGAGCAACCGGCGCAGTGATCAGTGGAATGTCCTCCGGGAATTCCATTACTGCCTCTAGGGGATGATCAACGAGAAGCGGCGCATGGAGGCCTAGATCATTAGCCCTCATGTATCGCAAATTCTGCATTGCTATCATAAAATCTTCGCTACCCGGAGTCCACCGAACCGTAGCATCGACCAAACCTTTGTTTTCGCTCGGAAGCGATGGTGGGGCACGGGAATATGTGGGATGCATTCTGCGGATCGAGACATCCGGTATGGGTGCTCCAGGTTGGCGGTTGGGGGGGAGAGTGCATGCTGCGACCGGGAGAGGGCTGATGGTTGATGGAGTTGAATCTCCGGGGCTCCCTATGCGCGGGTACCTCCTCGGGTCTGGTAGTAATGTTTCAACCGCCCCCCACTTCAGCCTTGCATTCACCTGATCGAGGATGTTGGCGGCATCTATGCGGTGTCTATGGTTTGGAAATAGAGATATCTCCCTGAAGATTCCCAGGAGTCCATCGCAATTGCCTGGCAATGTCCGGTTGGGCCTCCGGCGTTTGTGGCGTCGTTTGAGCTGGGTCAGTCGGGCCGCTATATTTTCGGGATCGCTGAAGCTAAAGCTGTAGTGTGCGAACCACTGATTGATCACATCCTGGCTATCATCAGAGAGCAAACCAGGAGGACTGGGGCTTACAAATAGGGCAGAAAACATGGTTGTTTTCTGTTTGTGGCGAGCTTTTCTTTTTGACGAATGTGAGATATGGAGGTTTTATTGAGCTTCGCAGTATGCGGTCGATAGTATGATATATATGTACATCGTGTGGAAACCCATGAGGCGAAAATCGCTTCAAGTTGAAAGTGAAATGATATCTTGTGCATGATTTATTCAAGTGGTTTAGCTGGGCAGCTGCTTCACCTTCAGATAAAGTATTGACACCAACTCGCTTTCAAGAATCCTACTAGGCTCGGTTCGGAAGTTTTATAAAAAATTTGTATATTATTTTAAGCTAGCAAGGCTCACACTATGATATCTCTTCTAGCTTTGTTGAGGAGGTTTCATAGGAATGAATCTTAGGACGAGGATTCGTAGAATCACTGGTTATCACTCGACCAATCGACGGAGTGGCCTAGGGCAGTAATTTGAAGCCGTAAAGAGACTCCTAGAGTGGGGTTAGTTCCCCCTTCATGCAGGACAAAACCCCGCCAGAGATATATAGTCTTTTGCATAACTGCCATAAGAAATGCTTTCGCCAAGAAGTAGTGCCCCAGCAACATCCGCAAAGGTTATATAATTCTTTTCAAGCCAAGTTAACGCCATATTTCACCGAGAGTGGCAAC